TATTTACTCATCCATTATTGAGAGATTCTTGAGCAAAAAGATACTGCAGTCAAACGTTTGACTGGGTTTGCGTTATGCATCCACTAGATGTGCTGGGAATGTAGCGAGTGCGCGGAGCCGGAGGTGAGGCGTTTATTTAGTAAGCGTGAGCGCGCTGGGGCGGGCACAACTTACATTCATAGCCATTCGCTTACATTAACTCATATGAGTATTCAATGTGCGGCGGCTCGCTGACCTGGCTGGCTGTTTTGAATGAGACGACCCGGTACTGTGAACGGGGAGCGTTTTATGAACTGCTGTGACGCTCGAGCAGCGCCGGGGACAGTGTGTCTGTTAAGAGTGAGCGCTCGTGAGCGGGAGACACACACATAACCTGATATATGTTGGGCCGTGTGACAAAGCGGGCATAAGCTGGACACAAGCGCGAGTTCGCGGGGCGACTTTAATAATGCGGAGCGTTGTTAACTAATTGATGCATATATAAGGCGCTCCGGATTATAAGGCACACTGTCGTTTTTTGAGAAGATTAAAGGCTTTTAAGTGTACCTTATAGTGCGGAAAATATGGGAAAAGGATCAGCACGAACTCTATGGCAAAACCGAAATCCCGCGGAACACGAGGGTAGATTGTCCCGTGCAGGGCTGACCGAACGGTCCGGGATTTTACCGTGTACCGTTGCATCCCTAATAACCACACATTTTTTTGCTCATTTTTATTCATATATCAATATTAACTCTTTCCCCGCCAAACACGGAATTTTCCGTGTTTAATGAAAAAACGCATCTGCGCCAAACACGGAATTTTCCGGGTATCCGTGTTTTAGGTGGTATACGGTAAGGAAGACCCGCGCGCATGTCCTGAATGATTGCGCAACTCTTTGTTTAGAGAAACAGATTGCAATCGTCTCAAACAGTGGAGTAGTGAGAATGTATCAGACAGACAATGCAGAGGTATATGGCTGAAGTACTGGAGGTTAATGGACTCGGAGTCCGATCACTCTTTATTTGATAATTCTGAATCTGATCGGGACGAAGTAGTCAGTGAGAGAGATGCACATGTTCATGCTAGCCATGGACGTGCCGCAGATAGATCGTATAATATTATGACACTATTATATGTATGTGTGTGTGCAGGCATTTATGTGTGGCTGTCTAAATATGAAGGTGTAATTGTCAAATTATTTCTCTCTTTGTGCACATTTACCACATTGTAATATGTATTTGTGTGTGTGTGTGTGTGTGTGTGTGTGTGTGTGTGTGTGTGTGTGTCTAGGCCTGTTTATTGTAATTCCAATCATTATTCACAGGTAGAACACAGAGAGGCAGAGGCAGAAGTTTTATTGCAAAAGTTACATTTCCCTTACATCCTGGGAAATTTGATATATTTTACATTTATTTTATGTTTTTAATTTATTTTGGAAAGTTTTATATATGAAGGAAACAACATCTGAATGTATTCTGCTTTTAAATGCACTTGTTTGATAAAAATCCCTTTTTCTCAGTTTTTTGTCCAAAATGTTGTGTTTTTGACAAAACCTACCTCTGTTCAAGAGGCAATAAAAAAAGAACAGATGAAGATAAAATAAAAACGTTTTTTTTGCCTAAAAGCAGAGGCTCAGATCTTTATTTTTATATATATCATCTTCATATATTCATGGAAGAAAATATTCAGCGGGGGCATTCAAATTTAGCGAAAATCGTCAAAAACCCTGGCGGTGGCTGGCAACTTTTTTTTAAAACGCTGGCGGGGAAAGAGTTAAGATAATCTCTGCCATTATTTTTGTTGCATTTTTTCATAAATAAGTGAAGAGTGATTAAGGTTTTAATGTTGAAATCATTAACAAAGATAAATAAATGCTTCAGAAGACTGCAGCTGAGCCGGTGGAGGTCTCCATCATTGGGGTGGTGGAGGGAAACGGAGGAGCCACAGTTCTGCTGTCTGACGCCCGTTTCACACATACTCCGTTTGCAGTGCGTATGTGGTCCGTATTTTTTTCCGTACCCATGTTAACAGGTTAGAGCTTTCACACTGCACGCGGATGCAGTCCGTCGATCCGTTCCAGTTGCGGTGCGTATACAGCAGTGCAGAGATCGTTTCCGTACCGAGTCTATTTCTGCTGTGCTGCAAACGCAGAAATAAAGTGACAGCGCACGGTTCGTGGTCAAAATGAACTCAGATTGACCTCGAAATGTAGTTGTTTCACCATAAATGCATTTAATTCAATAAAATGTAGTAATCTCTCCATGAAGGTATTTAATTGTTTCATATTTTTACTTTAAGACAATAATGCATGGAATTGTATGCATTCGTTGTTTAAATCGTGTTTAAACGAGCATGCGTCCATTCAAGTTTGTAAAAGAGAATCGCAAAGCGATGGCAAAACTTTTATATTAATAAAAGTTGCTGCATATGGTGAACATATTTTGATTACCAAAAACCAGGACACATGGCCCAGAAAACAAATGATACTCGAAGTTTACTCAATGGTGCCTTATTAATTTCAATACAATTAAAATAGGCTATGCCTCCTCTGTGGATAGAAAATTGTTATATTAAGACACAAATTCAGATAGCCGGCTTCTCAGAGGATACTCAACATGTTTTATTATGACAGGTTGGTTTAAAAAATAATGAATGAAATAATGATATAAAAATAAATATTAATTAACTAAAAGAAATACCTTCAAATTGAACAAAAATACCTCTCACAAACGTACAAAAATGAACTAGTTTTCTTCCTTTTTATCCTGTTTTTCTTCCTCATCCTCCTTGTTTGCTCATCTCCTATATTTTGCTGTAAGATCTTTTCCAGCGTTTTTTTATTTTATTTTATTTTATTTATTTTTTTTGGAAAACCAGGACATCACTTTATAAAAAAACGGCCAGGACAGGACGTGAAAACAGGACTGTTGGTCACTGGTCACGCTATTGCTGCGTAACTTCTGATTTTTAAATAAAAGTGTTTGTGGTACAGCTCACGCACTGCAAACGCAGCATATGTGAAAGCACTTTAGCGCGTGCACTGCAAATGGAGTATGTGTGAAACGGGCGTGACAGTAACGAGGAGTACAGTGTCCCTGCAGCTCTACACCTCGACATCGCTGCTGAGGACCTGCCCATAAACCTGAAACTAACACACAGCAATAAAGTAGTGCAGAGCATTGAACCGTTGGGGGAGCTCATGGAGGAAGTTTTTGAATCACTTTGACATTTTTGTTGTGTTTTTACTAGTTGAATTTATTCATTTTTTTATTGTTAATGAATTGTTAATTTTACAGTTAAATAAAATGTGTTTTAAAACATTTTGCTTTAAGTGTTTTACTATGGATTCCATAAATGTACATTCATTCATTAGCCTAAGTCAGATGCATTTTATCACCTCCCTACCATAAACATAAATCATTAATGTTAAGATCAGAGCAACTTTAAGCATTTATGATTTATGTTTATGGTATGGAGGTGATAAAATGCGTCAGACTTAGGCTAATGATTATTTAATTCTTCATTCCTTACATGACCTTCTAGAGAAAATGTTACTCTTTAAGATCGTCAAAAAATATACAAAACTGGTGTGCACATCCCAAACACCCAAATGTGCCTAATGAAGACCTGAGGGTCGAAACGTTGCTTTTTAATAAATTTTTGGAGCAGTACCTTTTCAGTGTGCGGACTTCACACTTCTTTATTTTGTTTACTCTTTAAGATCGTACAAGGAATAAAGAAATAGAAGAGAGTAATTAATTAGATAACAACATTAATTCATTGTAACAGTTAATTGTATATTTATATAATTCTTATATAGAGATGGAATGTGTACATACTGTAGAGTTAAAACTAGCTCAATAGTATATAAATACTCAATCAAAATGGATTATAATTAAACAGGGTTTCCCATACATTCATTAGTTTGTGGTGGCCCGCCACAATATCAACACTGACCGCTACGCATAGATTTTCAGGTTTTTATTTTATTATAGAGCTGCGTGCTCCTTCCCTCCCTTCCACTCTCACAAACTGACAACAGAGATGCAAATACCCCTCCTCTTCGAGCACGATATGATTTAAAGCAGCGCTCAGTAAGACTGGAACTTCTTTGCTGTTTTCTCGCAGGTTTCTCTCTCGAGCTCCCCCTACAGTTACCCCCCCCCCATCTCGTTCAGGCCATGTGCATTTGTTTTCAGAGAAGCCGGCAAACAAACCGAAGCATAGGCGTCATTTACGGGGGGGACGGGTGGGACATGTCCCCACCACTTTTTGACAGGGTCGATTTTGTCCCCACCACTTTTTAAACATCTCGCGGCACAGATGTACCAATGCAAATAAAACATCTCCAGTTAACAGCATTCGTTTCATTTGTTTGTTAACCCTCAAAAGGTCTTCGTTTCCTGTTTACAAATCTGGAAACCAACAATTCTACCAACAATTGATAGAGAACAAAACAAAAACTATACATTTTTGTACAAAAACTATACATTTTTAATAATACAAATAATATATGTTTTTTTTAGTTTACTTCTCATCTATTCATTAATGTTGTGTTTTGGGAGATAATAAGTACTTTTGTACCTATTTACAACACAATTCCTCAACTACACCATAAACTTGCATATGAAATCTTAATTTTTTATGAAAAAATCACTTAAATAATGATCAAAATTTAATTTAACTTGCTTCTGGATATTGATCTAGGTGTTATGTGTAGAATTACGCCATCTACTGGTTAGAGATAAAACTAAATTCTTTACAGTTTTAGAAATAAATAGTTTTGACCTGCAGAGGCAATAGAGAGCCATTTATTTTACTGCACGTGGCCACTACTTCTGTCACAACTTTTGAAATACATTTTATGAATTTTTATATATATATATAAACATAAGAAAGGACATTTAAAATAATAATTTTTTTTAAATAGTATAATTGTTGTAGTTTTTGATGCATTTTGAAACATGTTTTTACAAAGTGCCACATAAAAAGGACACCTAAATGCCACATAGGACACACCTAAAGGACAAGACTTGGAGTCAGATTTTAGTTGCACATTGTTGATTTTATTGAACAAAGTGTAAAAATAAATAATTAACTTTAGAATGCAAAATAAATAAAATAAATAATATGAAAACAAAAGCAATAAGAGTGAACATCTAATCTAACATTCTAACATTTTTTCCAATAAAATTCTGAACATAAAAAGCAATAACAAGCTACAAAAAAACATGTAAAACAAAATGTAAAACTATAATCAGTCCACGCACATCTGGCACAGGAACACCGTATGAGCAGCACAAATGGCTCTTTTGCAGTTTGTGCACTGCTTGTCAGTTTTGGTGTCCTTTGCCCATGGACAAACCTGGCACCGTTTTCTTTTTTGGAGTGGATCAGTGGATGGCCCTGGCTCGTTGGACGAATGCTGTTGTTGTCTCTTCAGAATTGCTGCAGAGGCTGGTGTACGAGGCACTCGTTGTCGTCGCTCCATTTGAGGGGACACCAGAGCTTTTCCCAGCTGCTCTAGAAAGAGCCTCCTTTTTATACTCTTCCCTCTCTCCCATGATGGATTGACTTCTCTCCACACCACAAAGGCATTTATGGCCGAAACATCGAGGATTGTGGAGAAGACAACCATTGGCCATCGATTAGTCTTTCGCTTGCAGCTGTAGCATGCAACCATCTGCAAAATTTCAAACACACACACACACACACACAAACAAAGAAACAAATTAGTATATCTACCAGCATAATAATAATAAATACCAATTACTAACTCAGCAACTTTGAAAATGAGCTAAACAACGCATCAAATAATAAATTTTGTAAATACCTTGTCAAGGTTGTCAACTCCGCCTTTGCAGCGATTGTAGTCCAAGATGACCTCTGGCTTCTTGTCCTCCCTGTCACTGATTTTGCCATCCTTGTGACATGTGCTCATGAGCAGCACATTTTTATGCTTTTTGGGGCAATACGACACAAGACTGTGTGTTTCATTGAACGCAAAAAGAGAGGAAAACACAGTTCGGTCTCTCGTCGTTAATAGAGCAGGTGGGAGTTCAGGTTTGTTTTTGCGAACTGTGCCAACCATGGTCAACTTCCTTCTCAGGAGCTCCTGGCCAAGGGCATAGGAAGTGAAGAAATTATCACAGGTGACTGTGTGACCCTGGAGACCAGTGGTCAAATCAAGGACCACACGCATGCCCTGGTTTCTCTCTGGCTGGCCATCTCGAGGCTTGCCGGTGTAAACTTGCATGTTCCATGCGTAACTCTTCCTGGCGTCACATGCTGCCCAGATTTTCAATCCATATTTCGCCGGCTTATTAGGCATGTACTGCTTGAATGAGCATCTACCTCGAAATGGCACCAGGCACTCATCCACCGTTACCTCTGAACCAGGGTTGAACATTAGAGGGAGACGCTCCACCCATAAGTCCCACAGATTCCGAATTGGTGGTATCTAGTAACTAGTATCTAATGAATAAGTACAAGTATCTAATAAATAAGGACTAGTATCTAAAAAAAAGGCACTAGTATCTAAAGAATAAGCACTAGCTATTGGATAAGTACTAGTACTTAATGGAATAGATTTAGTATCTCAAAAATAAGTACTAGTAGCTTGAAAATAGAGACTAGTACTAGGTTTAAATGATTAAATGTTAAAACGGCTTGCCTGAAACATTAGATGCTTCCTCCAGCCTCATAGAAACAGTTGTCTCCGCAGTATCCTTGGAAGTCATCAGAACCCCTGCAATACACCTCTTTGCCCTGTTCCTCTGTAGCCTTCGCCACAGTCTCATGACACCTGAAAAATGTTATCATTCATCCATTATGTTAGTCTATAGGTTTGACTACACATGTGAGGTATTAATGCCTGCACTGATATAAGGAAGAGTGTTGAACATTGACTACTGAGCTGATCTCACTGCTAAAAAAAGGTCAAATCATGTTTCTATTTAAATCTAATGATCTGCAGAGGTTTTTGTTAGGGTTATGACTGAGATATAATATAAATAACAAAAAAATATTAATATTATATTAAAATTGATATTAAAAATAATAAACTAAACAAGCAATGATTTTTCAGCTTTTCTTGTTTTCTTACAGCGCACCACACACTCAAACACCATTTCATATACAGTATGAAGGGAGTGGGTTCTGGACTGAACGAAAACATAATTTATCCAAAATATTATAGTTTTTAATAATTTTTTAATAAGATACAATTTGCAGTTAGATTAATGTGCACAACACTTTCCTTAAAATATACCCAGATAGCAAACTGAGATTGAATCAACGTGGAAATATGACATCGAAACAACGTTGATCTGACATTGTTTTGCTCATCGAATTAACGTTGAACCAACGTCAGACGCGTCATTCTTTCACAACTAACGGAAAATCAACTTGAAATCAACGCGTTGTTTCAACGTTATGAAAGCAAACCGATTTTCATTTAGCTTTGAAGAATGCCGCGTCTGACGTTGGTTCAACGTTAATTCGATGAGCAAAATCAACGTTGTTTCAATGTCATGAGAGACGTCGTTTCCACGTTGATTCAATGTCAGTTTGCTGTCTGGGTATTTATAGTTATTTTTTTATGATTGAATTAATAGTACATATTAGTAGGCTACCTATACCCCTGGTTTCACAAACAATTTTAAAGCCTTGTCCTAGACCAAAATGTAAGTCTGTTTCAACTGAATCAACTTGCACTGACTGATCTTAAAATATATCACTGCCTTTGTTTTGTCTCAAGATGAACACCAGTAGGCTAACGCTTTTTTTTCTAAGCATGTTTATGAAAATTATTTAAATGTCCTAATTATTTTAATTCCTTCTATGTAAAGCACTTTGAATTACCGTTGTGTATGAAATGTGCTATATAAATAAACTTGCCTTGTCTAATTGAACTATGGACTAATCCTGGTTTAGGCTAAACCCTGTCCCTGTCTGTGAAACCGGAGGCCATAATGTCCTGGACATAAATGGCACCTATTCGTTGAAACAGCCCATTAACATTTGTTTACATCTATTGTTTTCTAGTCTGACAACCTAACTTTAACTATTTTTTTATATTAGAATACGCAGACTGGAAAAAAAAATAGGAAAGTAAACTACCAATATCAACACTAATGTAACAAACTTATGCTAATAATGGGTAGCGATAGATTGTAAGTGGCAGACCTCTAAGAGCTTTTCTTAATCATGTTACAACATCACGTTGCAAGCAAATTTACACAAACTAATTAACGTTAACTGGCGTAAAATGAGAGTTTACACAAATCCACTTATATTCCATACAGGTGACCTCTCTCCTCATTTCACTGCTTTCTCGCTTTATCACTCATATCTGATGGGAAAAGCGTATTCAAGGGAATCGCGCGACCCACTCAAGTTTTAGCGAACCAGGCAGAGAGGTTGTAAAACGCCAACACGGTTGTAAAACACCCCCAAATGGGCTATATGCACGCATAAATTCCGCATTTGACGCAAGGATGCTCGTCCATTTCCGGTTGTGGAGATTAAAGCGGAGGAAAACCGAGAAAAACGGGATTATGGCAGAGTCTTCAAAATGTACTGTCCTCCAGTCTTTGAAATGAAACGTACATACGTTTCTATGTAATTTTATATATAGTTATATTTATTTAATATAATTTTAAAAAGAAGCATAAACACAACGAGGGGTGTCTGTTTTATCTGTTTTTGTGACTAACGGTAGTATAACCATCCCAGACAGCAAACTGACATTGAATCAACGTGGAAACGACGTCTCTCATGACATTGAAACAACGTTGATTTTGCTCATGGAATTAACGTTGAACCAACGTCAGACGCGGCATTCTTCAAAGCTAAATGAAAATCGAAAATTGGTTTGCTTTCATAACGTTGAAATAACGCGTTAATTTCAAGTTGATTTTCCGTTAGTTTTGCAAGAATGACGCGTCTGACGTTGGTTCAACGTTAATTCGATGAGCAAAACAATGTTAGATCAACGTTGTTTCTATGTCATATTTCCACGTTGATTCAATGTCAGTTTGCTATCTGGGATGGAGTATAAAATTCAATATAAATTCTCGGTATTGCATTGGACTCTACGATCGCCGGAAGTTATCGAGCATCCCTAATGCTTCACCGGAAATACCACCGTGCATAGAGCCCATTGAGGCACGCCCCTTGTTGTTCTGCAGAGACCTCCTTCTCCTTTTTTCTGAATGCATTATTGTCTCGCGAGATCTGATGCAATATTTTGGCTGTCGTGGACGGTCATTTTAATAATGCGAATGAGGGGCGCGAACAACAGAGACGAATGTCCAAGTGCACTCAAAAGTGCGCGAAGGATAGCATCCTCGAAATGAATTCCGGCTTCCGAGGATCCTTCTTTGACTTTGAGAAACACCTCGAGTGTGTCTGCGTGCGAGCGACACGGAGAGACAGCACGCGAGAGATACCGGTTGTGTCTGAGACTGAGTGACAACGCGCGAGAGAGACCGAGTGTGAGCATTAGTAAATTGCATTAGTAAATTGGTGTATACATACTACATTGTAATGTATCATTTCTATAAGAGGCATGAAAGTTCGATTAATGGACTCCAATAATCAGTAGGCTAATACAAACATCGTGTTTTTAACTATTGTTTAATAAATAGAAATAATTCAACCACATAAACTTTCAGATGGAGGATTAAATAGATTAAAATGTATGCAGTAAGATTTCACAACAAATCACTGACACATTTTACATTTCTTAAGTGTCAGATAACAATGACTCTAAATTTCATCCATTAATCAAACTAGTGCATAGTTCTGCCTTGACATGTTCTCATTTGGTTACATTCTGTTATGGAATATTTGTTTTTTTATTGATTGTATATTTTGGGCGTTTTATTCAGATCTATTATGGCAGGTACAATGCAACTTTATATTTTGCTTCCTAAAATATATTTACACAATGTAAAGTAGTGCCCTGTTGAAGTTTTGCTTCATTTTATTTATTGTTTTCTTTATTTTTATTTATTCTTTAAAGAGATGCACTGAATTTTGGTGAATGAGAGCACCTGTTTTGTTTTAATGCACATAGTTGTACATTAGCAGGAATGTAGCACAATATGGATGTGAAAGCAGTTATAATTAACCTATGTGACAAAATTAGTTTTGGTTAAAATCAACAAATAATCGTGATAATAATTGTGATCTCAATATTGATCAAAATAATCGTGATTATCATTTTGGCCCAAATCGTGCAGCCCTAGCTACTTAATATAATCTCTCAACCATCAACTACAGCTCCACCTCATGTACCAAGACAGGAGGATGAAATGTACTATTTTGCCCTCAATTTAGTGCCTAAACTAAACAGGCTTAATCCCAGGAACCAATCGAGGGCACAAATCCATATCCTCAACTTCCTTGCGGCCACACAAGCCGGCCCTGTTTTCTCACGTACCCAGTCCCAACAAACAACAGGATTTCAGCCAATCCACCCTTCTTACCATCAGCATGGATCTGAACAGGAATCCGCTCCTGTCTGTCATCAGTTCCATTAGTTATTTAAAGTTCTTATTTGTACACTGGACTTTTTTTTGAGTTTGAAATATTAATAAGGTTTGCAATTTTTGTTCATTAAAATTATATCAATAAGTGCTTACTTTAATGTTAATTATTTTTCAGGTCTAGTGAAGTGAAGCTGAATAAAATGTGCAAAGCAACAGATATAGCGGGATAGATTTCCTTCTGTCAACAACTCGAACTACATGTAACACAAAGAATCACATTGATTAGAATTCAATTTCATACTATTTCAATGTCTTAAACAATGTAGAAATGAAGGTTTGGATTTAAAATGTAAATTACTTACCCATTTTTGATTTTGTAGAACACAGAAACTGCGGATCAGTAAACGGACTGCAAACGCAGCATATGTGAAAGGTCTACGCGTGCTACTGCTGTACCGGAGAGCTAAGAGCATACGGAGTATGTGTGAAACGGGCGTTATACTCTACGGGACAGCACGAGCGGGGCAAAAATGACAAGTTGATCGTTTCGCCACAGCTTTTTTGTAACAGCGCGCACGCTGCGTGGCGCCGCATCCAAGGAAGAACGACTTCAAACCGAATATGTCCGAGCTTGCTCTGACCGTCGCAATTCTGTCGTCATTATATGTTAAGCCCGCCCGCCGACTCTATACACGATGTGATTGGCCCGGCCAGAGTTGGGTTTTTTTTTTCCAGCTAAAACATCTATTGAGACCTGCTAGACCACGCTTTGGTGCTAAATAATTTTTGCTGCCGCTAGGGTGTGTCTAGAATTCTAACTAATTTGTACAAACATATGAAAAATCACAGACCAGAAAATGCAGAGCTGCAAAAACGGAGAGAGGGGGAGAAAAATCCTGAAAAGAAGTGCACTAAAGAGGAGAAACGTCATTTTATTCTCATTATATCTTACAAAGACAATTTG